GGCTACCATCCCAGCAACCATCTCTTCTTGAACTCTCAGTGGCATGGAAAAGAGCCTAGGTTGAACATTATAAACTCAGATCTTGCCTCTCCTCTCGCCCCTGGCACCACCTGTTCAACCTGCCTTCTTCCAGCCGTCTGGTTATCTCAGAGCCTTTCAGCTTTGCTTTCACTTGTTGCTCTGGTTCCTCTTATCTTTCTCCCATCCCTGTGATTTGTTCTTCAAGCCACAGTTCTATCACAACATCTGACTTCTAGACTTTATGCTTAGATGTGCTTACCTCCTTCCTCCCTGAGTCCTTAAGATTTCCCTTTGCTACTTAATTGTCCCCTGCTCTGATGCTTTTGATCACTCAAAGAATAGCCGTCATTGAAGTTCAGCTTCAATAGTGGACTATTCCATCCATCACTAACCTCTCTGAAGGGTCTTTTGAGTCTGGACACTGAAATCTAGTGGCGGTCCTTGCAGGATCTTCCTGGTTCACCACTGTCATCTGGTGGACAAATGTAGTTACTACATAGAGTCTGGCCTCAAACACCCACCGGAAAACCAAAGGGTTTTTTGTTCCATTCTTGAATAACAAAGTACCTTTAAGAGCTACCAGGTGCTCTACCTTAACTGATCATTACAGTCAAAAGGGAATTATCTCACGTCTGTATTCCTACAGGTCTGTTCAAATCCTGTCCCTGGTGGAAGCATAAAACATCCTTTCGAAAATCTTCTCTCCTGGAGAGTAGTAGCACTATGCTTTTTCACAAGCACTAAATAAATGTTGTGGAAAATTGAAAATCTAACTGTTCAAACCATGGGCCTATAATTAACTTGGAGGCAATTTATCTTAATTGTAAGTCAAATGCTGGAGACCTTTGCTTACCAATAGATTTGACTCCAGAAGCCTATTTTTAGATCTGTGTTTTATGAGAAATTTGAGCTTGCAGTCTCCAGATGAATTTTCACTAAAAAAAAAAAAAAAAGAAGAAGAAGAAGAAGAATGCAAAGCACTTCATGGAAATTGAGGGGGGGGTCAGGAAGAGAGAACAAGGCAGAGGAGGAGGAGGAAGGGGAGGAGGAGGAGGAAGAGGAGCAGGAGGCATGTTCCTTGTGCACATTGGTTCTACAAGCAACCTTTTTTTTTTTTTCCTTTTCTTTTTTTTTGGGGGGGGGGGGCTGGTCAATCATGGGGCTTGAACTCTGGGCCTGGGCACTGTCCCTCAGCTCTTCAGCTCAAGGCTAGCGCTCTACCTACCTTGAGCCACAGCGCCACTTCCAGTTTTCTTATGGTTTATTGGAGATAAGAGTCTCACGGACATTCCTGCCCAGGCTGGCTTTGAACCGTGATCCTCAAATCTCAGCCTCCTGAGTAGCTAGGATTATAGGCATGAGGCATCAGCGCGCCTTGGCTGGCAGCCTTCTTTTTGCTGTGTTTTTTTTTTCCTTCAATTTTCTTCTGCCTTTGCCCATTGTCTCAGCTGTTCTCTATGTCTCTCTGCCTCATCTACCTCCTGCCCACATTGTCCCCCACCCCACCCCCCAGCTTCCCTGCTCTGTGGCCAGGTGCCCTCCTCTGGGCTCCCTGCCCTCTGGCTTCTTGAAAAAAGGGATCAGGAGATAAGGGATAAAGGAGTGCTATGAACTGAGGGTACATGTACCCTCAAAACCCATGTGTTGAAACCCTCATTGCCACTGTGGCTGTACTTGGAGAAGGGAAGTAGTCATGGTTAACTCATGCTCTGTAATCCTAGCTATTCAGCTATTCAGCTCAAGTAGTAGAGCCGTAGCCTTGCCCAGGCCCTGAGTTCAACCACTAGATGCAGGGGGGTGGGGAGGGAGGGAGAGAGTTAATAAGGGTGGGGCTGTAATTCAGCAATATTGGAAACCTTATAAGGAAGATCAACCTCCCTTCATTATTATCTGCATCCATCCCGGCTGCAGTCCACACAGAGGAAAGGCCATGTGAAAACAAAGTGAAGTGACCTTCAGAAAGTCAGGGCAAAAAAAGCCAGAAGCTGAATTCTGCTAGATCTGAACTTTGAACTTCTAGCATTTAGAAGGAGAGAAAAAATTAATTTTCTTTGTTTAAACTACACAGTCTGTGGCGTATGGGTAGGGCAGCTCAGCCTGAGCAATGCAAAAGGCCATATTACATGCTAACCTCATCCCAAATTCTACCACGCCTAGAGCTGTGCTGGGCTCAGCTCACACTGCTTCCTCTACGCCTTACAGGCCTAGAAGTGATAGAGGCTTCATTCCTGGTAGCCTCAATACCTTCCTCCCTCATGACCAGCAGGTAATATCACCTCCTTAGGTCCCTCTTCCCCTCTGAGTGTTTGTCTCTGTGTACTAGTCTCCCTTTCTGTGTGTGTGTGTGTGTGTGTGTGTGTGTGTGTGTGTGCGCGTGTGCGCGCGCGTGCCAGTTCTGGGCTTGGACTCCTGGCTTTTGTGCTCAAGGCTAGTGCTCTACCACTTGAGTCACTCCACTTCTGGCTGTTTTGGGGGTAGTTAATTGGAGACAAGAATCTCATGGGCTATAGTGCCTAGGTGGACCTCAAACCACGATTCTCAGATCTCAGCCTCCTGAGAGGCCATGAGTCATCAACACCCTGTCAAATGTCGCCTTTTTGTAGCAAGTTATACTAACTGATGCATTTGATTTAACTTGATTGCTTTGATAATGCACCCATCTCCTAAATGAAATGCTTGGGATTGATGTTTCAACATATGAATTTGTGAAGGATGCAATGCCACCCATAACACATGGAAAGAAAAGAGCAGATTTCACAAGAACTTGAAAAATAGAAACTGTGTCTTATGACGGTAGGAGGGGTTAGTCAGCTGTGTGTCACCATAGTGATGTTCCCTGAGATGATTAACTTAGAAAGAGAAGAATTTATTTTGATTCAGTTTTGGAGACCTCAGTCCATGATCTATTTGGCTCCACTCTTTGGATCCGTGGTAGGCAGAATACCCCAGCCAGCCGAAGCATGTGGTAGAGTAAATCCACTCACTGCATAGCCAGGAGGCAAAAGGAGAAAGGAAAAGGAACCAAAGTGTCACAGTCCCCTTCAAGGGTACACTCCAATTGCCTAAGGACCTCTCACTAGGCCCCTCCTCCTAAATGATCCAGCTCCTCGCAGTAGCACCACCCTGGAGGACCAAGTCTTCAATACATGGGCCATTTAGGGCACTCAAGATGCAAACTATAAGGGCAGTGATGGAGAAGGTAGGTCACAGGACAGGAGTGATGATGATAGAATCAAAAGGTAAAAATATGTATGCTAACTGGGTGCCAAGGGCACACACCTGTAATCCTAGCTATTGAGGAGGCTGAGATCTGAGGACAGAGCTTTGAAGCCAACCCTGGACAAGAAAATCTAAGAGATTCTTATCTCCAAGTAACCACCCAAAATACAGAAGTGGAGCTGTCACTCCAGTGACAGAGTGCTAGCCTTGAGCAAAAAAAGCTAAGAACAGCACGTAAGCCGTGAGTTCAAGCCCTAGTACTGGCACAAAAAAAAGGAAAAGCAGAAGAAGAGTCAGATCATAAGTAAGTCTGAAGTCTGAGATGTGGCCCAGTGACAAAGTGCTTGCCTGGTAAGTGAAATGTCCTGGGTTCAATCCCCAGGACCAAAAAAGAAAAGATTTTTTAAAAATACACTTAAAAATAAATAAGTCTTGGGAAAGAAGAATTAGAAATGTTTTCTCTAAAGGGGTAGAGGATCCAGGCCTGTTGACTCTTGCCTATAAACCTAGCTACTCAGGAGACTAAGATCTAAGGATTGTAGTTCAAAGCCAGACCAGGCAGCAAAGTCTGTGAGACTCATTCCCAATTAATTACAGAAAAAGCCAGAAATGGTGCTGTGGCTCAAGTGGTAGAGTGTTACTCTTGAGCAAAAGGAGCTCAGGGACATCTAGACCCAGAGTTCAAGCCCCAGGACCAGAAAGACAGAAAAAGAGGTAGAGACTCTCCCTCAAAATCCATATGTAGAAGCCCTAAGCTTCCAATTTAATGGTATTGAAGATGAGGCTGTTGGATGGTAGTTAAGAGTTAGATAATCTCATGTGAGTGGAGCTCTCATGATAAAATTACTGGCCAATTCTGTCTGTCTGTCTGTCTCTCAGTCAGTCAGTCGGTCTATCTGTCTGTCTGTCTGCCTGTCTGTCTCTATCTTCTCAATGAGAATGCAGCAGGAAGTCAACTGTCTGCAAGCCAGAATGAGCCTTTGCCACAGCCCATACCTTGTTGGAACCTTGATCTTGAACTTCCCACCTTCCAAAATTGGAAATAAATGTCTGTGTTGAAGCCACATGGACTCTGGTGTTTTGCTCCAGGATCCCAATAGATGACTAAGACATCTATTTTGAGTAGTTTGTGTTTGTGGCACCTGTGGAAGGTCCAGATGGACAAGTAGGGTTTAGATGCAGGGATTTCAAGTTCAGGGGAAACAAATACTTGGACATTTCAACTTTGTCAGAGGGTGGATGAAGTGCCCAATGGTACAATGAGGGTGTTGAGACAAGCTAAGCATGTAAGGGGTGCACGGGGGGAGGTACCACGGTGTCTAGTAAGGACACCTGGCTCGAGGATAGCAGCGGCACTGAAGCTAGAGGCAGAGATTCAGGAAGCAAAGGTAACAAGTGGCCTGGAGAAGGGGAGGTAGGGAGGGAGGTGTGCAAATAACGCTTGGGATTTATCACATGGAACACCTCAATGACTTTATCCATGTACTTGGAGTGGAATGTCGTATTCATGATGGTTCTGCAGAAGGCAAACCCCAAGAAGGAAGTAGAAGAAGCATGAACTGTTGGGTGGGAAGATTCTGAAGGATGAGGAGAGAGGGAAGATGACTAGATGGAGCATCCCCCGGCTGTGATGCAGGTGAGCCACACATGAAGAGAGAGGCAGGGAAGAAGGAGACACATGGAAGAGGAGGCTCTACAATATGAGTGTCTGTTACTGGTGTTCCCTGTCAGACACAAAGGCTGGAACTTAGTACCCTATTATGGCCAACCATGACTGGCAAGCCCAAGTGCGGCTCCATGGCCTGGAGCTCCCAGGTGTAATCATTGGAGACCCTCAGCTCATTGTCTTCCTCGCAGCAGGTGCTGGCCCTCTTGAAGAAGATCTGAGCAGCTTACTATCATGGCAGCCAAAGGTAAGTTTGCTGATAAGCTGAGAAGAGAGGAAATGGAAGTAGATCCTCAGCAACCTGGCTTTCTGTGAAGCTCAGAACCATGTTGTGAGAACTCTTGAGAAAACAAAGACTTCTCCAGCACCGGCCTCTGCTGATGTAGCTAACCCAGGCCCACCAGCCAAGGGCAGAAGAAAGTCTCATTTATACTGATGAACTGCGGGGATGGACCAGACCCAGGAAATCGCTGACGGACATTTGTTTCTGCATTCTCCATTGTTCAATGTCTATTGACTTCAGATTATGATGTCTATGGTTCTCCTCAACCAGGCCAGAGTGGGGAACAAAGCTCTCTAGAAATGTACCACAATTCCTAGCTGCTTCTGAAACCTCAACAGAAAGTTAGAAAACTTTGAAGAATGCACTAACAACATTGCTATAGTGACCTGGGAGACAAAAATAATCTGATGTCCAGCAGTGGACTGGTGGCTAAGGGTGATTAGGTTTACTTGGAGAACCTGGCTGTTTTCCAGAGGTAAATGATGTGAGCACGCTGTGGCTCCTTCTCCACACACTGGACCCAGCTCCTTATGGCCTGCCACACACAGACACCAGCACATTTCTCTGCTCTAAGACCAGAGAGGAGTTCTGTTGAGTCCTTCTGGTGAGCCCTGAGCTCACAGATCCTTCTTTCTCCTAAAACTCGAGGGATAATGCCTTATAGAGTAGGAAAGTCTGGGCTACAAAGGAATTGTTTCTGAAAAGAGCCTTGGTTAAAGACCATCCTTAGATAATGACAGGAGAATTCTCTCTAGAGATTTGCATTCCTTTCTAAGAGGTGATATTGTTTGCAAACAGCAACAAGGTTTCAATGTTGTCTCCCAGCTTCCTCTTTTAAATGATTTTGCAAAGTTATTTAATTCAAGTTTAATTTCCTTACCTAATGCATATAAAATAGATAGTTATACTATAATGTTAGCTATCATTATTCTTCATTTTAAACATCTCTTGGTAGATAAAACTTAAATTCATATTCATATTTTCTTGCTGTTACATAAACTCTGGAAGTATGTATGAGAAATGAAGGACAACAGGTTGAAAGCAAAACTCTCGATGAATGCATGCATGTATCTACACACAAACATGCACACACACAACATCAAAGAGATTAGTGATGTTTTCTCTTATTGCTGTATCTTAAGGCATACATGGTAAGGTATTTCACCATGACAGTTCTACACAGGCATAGAATGTACTTTGATCACATGTGATCTGATTATTACTCTTGGTCTTTTCTGTCTCAAGCAAACTCAAACTGTCTATCACCAGCTAAGTGCTGGTACTCACGCTTATGATCCTAGCTAAGCAGGTGGCTGAGAGTTGGAGGACCAAGATTCAAAGTCATCCTGAGCAGAAAACTCAATGATATTCCATCTCCACCAAAATTCTGGGCTGAATGTTTGGTATAAGTGATAGAACACTAGCCAAACAAGCAAGTCACGTGAGCACTGTTCACTGATTTCAAATCTTTGTGCTAGGATAGAGAAGAGAACAAGCGAAGCTGTTACCAGCCACGGCACACGCCTGTCTAATCACCAGGTGATGGCATGGTGCAGCTAGCCATGTATAGTATGCAACAGATGCTCAGCAGCTGTAGTTGGAGAAGAGCTGGCACGCAAACCACATTCCCTTGTGAACCTCACTAGAGAGAGACAAAAATGTGCATTTCTAGTCTTTAGAAGTATCCACATACAAAGACGTATGTGTTTGTTTTGAGTTGATTTTAAAAAAATAAGCTGTGTCATATTCCCTAGTCCCTTGACAAGCAGAAAAGATAGTGAATGTACTTCAGAGGAGGCTTGAAGCAGGCCTGGCATGCTTGTCAGTGTTTTCAAGGTTGAGCAAGCTCTTGACATCATTATCAGCAACATTCACTAGGTCTTGGCACTTCCGATTCCATATAAAAGAATCCAGAGGATTTCAGTTCAGAGACTAGATATAGGCACCTCAGTGACCCTGAAGTATTGAGAGTTTGCAAGAGATTCTGCAGAGTACAGACTGAGAACCTCAAAGAGAAATGGTGGAACTCAGTAACAAAACGAATCAAAAGCAATGTGGTGTCTTCTCCCAGGGGAAGGAAATAGGGACATGGTGCTCCTTTGCTTCTACATTTGATTTCCTCTAATCATGAGTCAGACCATACTGCATGTATTTAGTTCTACAAACTGTCTGTTAGCACATTCATTCCAATGACACTCAGTCCTCTGCTGGTATTTCCAAATCCTGTTTTGGCAATTACCCACAATCCTATGCTCCACTGTCTGTAATTACATCTTTGCTTTTAAAAGCAATCAGAAATGATGAATGGAGCATCATAGTTCAGTCAGCAATAGCAAAGATTTTAACACCAGATGCACCTGAAGACATATTCTAACTAATGTGAGTGCTCTTAGTCTTCATCCCTCAGTTTCCCCACTTGTAAGGATAGGAATGGGAATGGAATTTTGCTCCCAAGCATGCAACAAACCCTAAGTAACATAGTTCAAGTATAGAGCTTAGCATACTGTCAGGTACCTGATGGCCATTCAATAAACTGTGAACAAAAGACAAATCTTATCACGTCTCTAGGTACTTGAAAATGCAGCCATTTCTTAAAACCAGACAAATGCAGTATCTGGAATTAGCATAGATTGCATTCTAAGGTCAGGTGCAGACAGTCCTCATTTTCATGAATATAAAAATTAGTGTTCATTAGGAGCAGCTGTGTAACTTAGCAACAGCCCCCATTGGCTGGGTTATTTTTTACTTGCATATGCTGTTGTGGTGGAGTTTCTCTCTCCTCACTGTCAAAATCATCGTGCCTCATGAGTGGACAGGATCTATTTCAGCAAGATGAGAGGGATTTCTGTCAAGACACGCTGGGCACTTCAGGGAAACCTTCAGTGTGTCTTAGGAAGAAGCTTCTTCTACTAAGGAAAGACTAGTTATGTGAACAGGATTGTCCAATTATGGAGCCCATGCAGCGTTTGGGATCCGGGGAAAGCCATGCAGAGCATCTGTGAGACTCCTGCCTGGAGGGTCAGGCCACAATGGAAAGAGTAGCAGAGATGTATCAGGGGACAACTCCATGCCCACTGCTCATCTGCTCCCTGTGTCTGTCAGAGCTGGCTTCTTACCCTGCTATTGAATTGATAAGGAGAAATAACTCTTCTGAACAACTTACTTGTTTGTGACTTTTGTTAAAGAACCCTGTAGGGAAATACAGGCATCAGTCTATTTTGATTGCTTTGACTCACACTCAGGATCTTTCTTTCTCATTTTAGAATTCTACAAGGTTTCTGTGTCCGTGAAAGACTAATTGAAGAAAATGAGCTTAAGAACAACCTCAGAATGAGAAGCTGTAAGGTTTTCCATGAGCACAAGTTTGCCACTTGGGTTTCGTAACTCCTGAGTTAGCCAGGCACAGGTGGCTCATGCCCATAACCCTATCTACTCCAGAGGCTGAGATCTGAGGACCGAGGTTTGAAGCTAGCCTGGACAGAGAAGTCCAAGACACTCTTATCTCTAATAAACTACTCAGAAAAAGCTGGAAGTGTAGCTGTGGCTCAAGAGGTGGAGCACTAGCCCTGAGCAAAAGAAGCTCCAAGACAGCACCCAGCCCCTGTGCTCAAGTCCCAAGACCAAAGGGAATAAATTGAAAACTTGTGGTATAATCCCACAAACCCAGGAATTTTTCTTTTTTTTCTGGCAGTCCTTGAACTCAAGGTCTGAGCCTAGTCCCTGAGCCTCTTTGTGTTCAAGGCTAGCACTCTACCACTTGAGCCAAAACTTCACTTCCAGTATTTTTTCTTTTTGGTAATTTATTAGATACTTCTTTATATTTTGGGGTTGGTAGTGAGTCTTGGGTGTTGTCCTTCAGCTCTTCAGCTCAAGGTTAGCGCTCTGCCACTTCCACAGCACCACTTCCAGCTTTTTCTGTGTATGTGGTGCTGAGGAATCGAACCCAGGGCTTCATGCATGCAAGGCAAGCACTCTACCACTGAGCCACCTTCCCAGCCCTTGGTAATTTATTAGAGATAATAATCTCACAGACTTTCCTGCCCAGGCTGGCTTTGAACTGTGATCCTCAGATCTCAGCTTCTTGTGTAGTTAGGATCACAGGTGCAGGGCCTACAATTTGTTCTTTATTGTTAGTTATCACTTGGATAGCTTGAGTGCCAGTATGCAGAATGAAGAGGAAAAGGAACATCTCATGCTTCGAGGCACTGCTTTTTTTTCCAGCATCCTGCCCTTAAAGGACAGACACATTTGTGATATCACCTTGTCTGTAAACTCCAACAGGATCATGCATGGATGACGATACGTCCTCATGAACATCATGTTTAATTGCTTGAGGACAGCTGTTGTAAGCACTTCCTCACACTGTCAAGGACCAGAGCTAGAGCACTCTGTCGCACACATGCTGATAGAGTCCATGAACACTGTGTGCAAGCACTGTTCTATGTGCTTTCCACACATTCACGCCTTTCCTCCTCCCAACATGCCTACAAGATGAGCAACATTCTAATTTTAGCCCATTGACACGTGAGGAAACTAAGTCTAAAGAGACGCCAAGTTACTTCTTTAGATTATCACCCAATATGTGGTAAAGGGCAGATCATTGCTTTAACTAATGATTCTTTTCTCCTTATTTCCTCCTCCTCTTCCTTCTTTGCTTCTCTCTCTTCTTCTTCTTCTTCCTTTTCCTCCTCCTCCTCTTCTTCTCCCTCCCCCTCCTGCTTCGCTCTCTCCTCTCCCTCTCTCCTTCTCCTTTCCTCCCCCTCTCTCTCTTCCCCTCTCCTTTATGATCTTCAGAACCAGTGCTGCTGCAGTGTCAATAGATCTGAAAGAACTATAGCATGGCCCTTGAGCCCAATGAAGCTTCTTCCCAGGCTGGTAAAATGAAAGCATGTGCCCCCCCTCTAGGTTCCTTACTCCATGTGAATAGAATAACCCATAAACTTAGGGAGCACATAACAGTGCCT